TTGAGGGCTCTCATTTTGATATTGCTTTAGTAAGCAAAGGTCTCTATGTAAGCACACTTCATCACGTTGGTCAAAAACTAGTAACTAATAAAGTTTCGAGTTCACTCCAGGTGTTCACTGAATGAATGTTTATTAAAGATTTGGCATGTCCTCTCAGCTTTGAAAGAATGGAGTTCAATAAAAATGTATTTTGAAAATTGTTTGGATTGGAATGATCATAAAAATTGTCAATCAAGGATTTGCTTACACGCAAAAATCGATTGAGATCGTTACTGTTGCCGTCAAATTCGGGCACACAACTTAAGTATTCGGGCCTAAAAGTAGCCATAGTTGTAGTAATACTTGTAGGTATTGAATGTACAGGGACTTGTGAAAGTATGGGCTCACGTAGTATATTAGAGTACCGTCGAGTATTTGGAGAGTCAGTATTAAGGTCCAAATTCTCAAGGGCTTGCGATATATCAATACTCATTGAAATTTGAAGCGATAAATGGAAAAAAATAAACTGCACTTACAACACTAAGAAAGCGATCTTTAGCATCTCTTACTCCTATAAAGATCCTAGCTGGTTCTGCAATGTTGTCTTCCCCAGGCTGGAATCCTTGCGAACTTGGGCAATGTGGTCCCAAATTCCGATGCCCTTCGTATGTAGCTGTTCACGCCGGTTCCTCGATGGATTGGGTATCCAAAAATATGAATCCACTCCAGTGCTCACTGCCACTACACGAATGCCACCAAGTCCAAAAGGCCGGATAGAGTCCCGAAAAGTCCCGTCGCGACGGTTTGCGAAAGTCTTTCCCGGGTCGCGTATTTCTGATCCTACTGGATTGACTGCGCCAGTTATAAGATCGATGCTTCGAGATCGCTTTTTAAAAAGTTTATTTTTCGAAAATACAAAACTCAAAACTGTACTTTTACAAAATTATTACAATGTTATTATGATGTTAACAGTACAAAGGCTTAAATCTGACTGACTGTAAAATGTGTTGAGAACAATAAAGTAAACTCTAGGTCTTCTAGGAAATTAGTAGCATCGTCGGCAGTATTCCTATCATATCAGCAGGAACGCTGATTATAACTCATGGTAGCTATTCCTCGTTTTCCGTTTCACAATCCGATGACTTTGTTTCAAGCAAAAGCAAGTCCTTGTTCAGTCTACTAAAAATTGATGACAGTTTTCAGGACGAGTTTCCAATTTTTGGCTACATAATAATTTTTTTCAACACGCTAAGAATAAGGTGCAAACAATAGGAGCAGATAATGATACTGCTGAAAGAGCAGTCAAATGAATGCCAAACCATGGCCTAATCCTGCTGATGAGACACAAAAGTTCCGCGTGTAAAAAGAAAGCTTTGAAAAGAAAATTTAGTAAATAGTGTTCTTTTAATGTAACTATCTAGGAAAAATACTTACTAAAAGC